ATGACTTTCAATACAAATTATAAGCTATTGTGTAAAAGTTCGATAAAATTAATTTCGATTCTTAACTGTTGTCAGGTAAGTCACTCGATTCTAGATATTTCATTAATTACTGGGACATAAAACAGTCAGGGACTAAAGTTACACGGCACTTTGAGTATCATACAGAGTGTTTTGTTTTAAAGCGAGCGTAAGCTAAGGAAGTATTGTAATCGAGTCCATCGGGCCACTGGCTACTTTGAGATTTTCTCGATGTGTCATGAGCATGACACTTATTAGAGTACAAAAACATACGCCTTCCGATTTCGTATGTCTGTCTGCCCGTCTATACGCCGTCTGTATCAATTTTTGTTAGACAGATAATTTCCGAAACTACCGGACCGAGTATTGTCAAAGAAAAATATAAAAGTTAAAATTATACGAAGTAGATGGGTTTTAAATTGTATAAAATAAAATAGTTCTGTAATTTATGAATCCCTGTTGAAAAAAAAAATCAAAATTGTTTAACGACATTTTACAGTTTAAATTTGAATCTGCAAAACTGGGTGCTTTGAAATCCTGCAGAGGTTTTAAAGTTATCGTAAGCAGGGTAGATTTCAAATCAAAATATGTGTATATTCTGTTGATCCCCGTCAAAAAACTGATGACGTTATCTCAAAATTTTACTGAATAAATCCTATGTAAAATGTGCAAAATATGTTGAATCTATACTGCAATTACATTTTTAGAATTGTTTATACAAAATTACTCAAAAAGAAATTAATGAATGAGTCAATTTATTTAATGGTTTAAATCAGGAACAATAAAACGAGCCGCCTTGAAATTTTGTTGACGTTTTAAAGTTATCGTGTAAGCATGGTATATTTTTAATCAAAAAAGATTTGTTGTTCCTTCCCCAAAAAATAATGTCAGCTTAAAATGTTGCCGAATAAAGCGATTTTTCACTGGTTCACTGTAGGTACTCAGATTATTTAAATTGCTTATACAGGGTGACTCAAAAAAATTATTGAATGAGTTAGTTTACTTTATTAATTAAATCACGAATTAAAAATAAAAATCAAGAATTCACTTGAAAAACTGAGGAAACGAAAACTAAAAGAGCGAAAATTTAAAAATTGAAAATTGGGAAAGTGAAAAGTTGCAAATCGAAAAATTGAAAAAGTGCAAAATAGAAAACACGAAATACGTATTATAAAATCGAAATAAAATTGCAAAGGAAATGAAACAAGGAAAAATTGTGACATTAAATCGAGAAAATGAAATAAAAGTAAAAATCAAGAATTCGCTTGAAAAACTGAGGAAACGAAAATTGAAAAACCGAAAAATTAGAAACTGAGAAACTCAAAAACGGAAGAATGAAAAATTGCGAATCGAACAATTGAAGAAAAAAAAACTCCAGAAAGTGAAAAATTAAAGTAAAAAACCGAAATATTATGAAATCCAAACATTGAAAAATAGAAAAATTGACAAACGAAAGAAGAAAAAACGAAAAATTCTGACACTAAAAAATTGTAAAATCAAAGAAAAAGGAAAAACGAAAGGTTGTGATTCAAAAAAAATTTCAAAAGCAAACAATCCAGATTTTTCGAAAAATTATAAAATTTGGATTTGTGGATGTAATTTTTTTTGTGATAAACTTTAAAACCTTTGAAGATTTTAGAGCATTATTTTGCTAAAAAAGTGGCTGTCTAGTTAATTTTCAATTTTTCGGTTCTTCAGCTTCTAATTTTATAATTTTTATTCAATGTTAAATTTTTGATTTATCGGATTTTTAATTTTTTGATTCTTTGTTTATTCGATTTTCAGTTTTTCAATACTCTTAGAATTTTATAGTTTTTCGACTTTACAATTTTGACTATTCCATAATTTTACGATACAATTCGTTTTTCCTTCTTTTCATTTTTTCGATTTGGCAATTTTTCGTTTTTTTTTCAGCTTTTTCAGATTTTTTAGTTTTCCGATTTTTTTACTTATCGAATAAAAAAATGGAAAAATGAAATGAAGATTTTTAAAAATCTAAAATTTGAAAAACTGAAGAAACCAAAATTGAAAACTCTAACCATTAAAAATTGAGAAACTAAGAAGTCGAAAAATTGCAAAATTAAATAAACTGGAAAATCGGACAGTTGGATCTCCAAAATTGTAAATTAAAAAATTTAAAACTTGAAGTCGAGGAACTGAAAAATCAAAGACCGTATATTAAAAAAATAAATAAACAAAAAATTATAAAAAGGAAAGAAACATTGAAAAAATAAAGGAAATGAAAAGCGAAAAATTGTGATATGAAATTGAGAAAACGAAAATTAAAAATAAAAATCAATAATTCACTTTCCATTTTCCCGAAAATTTGGGAATACAATACTGTTATTATTAGTACTATACTGCACGTCATTACAAAATTTTGGAAACGGAAACTCATTTGAAACATACGTGCACCGTACATGTTTCTTAACATTTACTTTAACATTACAAGCGCATCTATGTTTTAACTTATAGGGGTTCCCAAAAATTAAAAATTCGCAAAATCAAATTTTATAATTTTTCGAAAAAGCCGAATATGTTTTATTGTACTTCAGGACGAGGGAAGTTCTGTCGAAATAACCTGTTCAATTTACTCTGCTAATGTGATTATTGTCTTTTACTTAAATTTTGCGTTATCGATTAGTTTTCATCTTTCCACACTTTTCGTATTTGTATTTCATCAATCTTTGATACATCCTTTCCAGTATTGTCGTAAGAGGCGTTGTTTTTCTTGTTATCAACTATTTTTCGTCTCAATTCTCTCTTTTTACTTCCCGAGCGTAAGCTAGAGAAGTATTGTAATCGACTCCATCGCTACTTTTATGTTTTCATGACCCGTAATATACGAAAACATAGGTCTTTCCTGTCCATCTGTCTGTCGGTCTGTCTGATAATCTCGGAAACTACGAGACCGTTTGTTATTAAATTTTGTATGTGTATTATGAATATCATATAGATGGTAAAACGCTAGCCAAACGTTTTGTAATCATCCCCACCAACAATGAGATGACGTCACCTCAAAACTGTATACAATAAATGGGTTTTAAATAGTGTGAAAAAACATTCTCCTCCACGTGTAGTTTATGAATCCGAGACATCCCGATTTTAGAGAAAAAAATTGAAATTGTATAATAGCATTGTGCAATTTAATTTGGTTCTGCAAAACTGAATCCTTTGAAATCTTGCATACCTTTTAAAGTTATCGTAAACAGGGTAAATTTGTATTGTTTATCTTCCCTAAAAAATTGATGACGTCATCTCAAAATTTTGCCTAAACAATCCTGTCGCAAATGGCAAAACCTAATGCCTTGAAATCTTGCAGACGTTTTAAATTTATCGCATGGATGTAAGTTTTTAATCAAAATATATATGTTTATTCCCAGTATCAAAATCAAAGCGGATTCATAAAGCACAAGTAGTAAAAATACGTGCGTAACAAACAATTTATAAAATGTCGACAGTGGAATTTAAGAAATACCTATACTCAAAAAACAAACAAAAAAGGTCAGAAGAAACTGGAAATATTTGATTAGGAGTTTCAAAGTAATAAGGTGAAAACTGACAATTTTACGTACCTACAAAAAAGTTCATATAGAGGAAACGACGGCTAGTTTTAAGACATTTTAGTTACTACTTTCAACTGCCATAATATTACTACAATTTTTTTTTCTATGTTTATAAAACCAACAATTAAAAATAATTTGATGGGTGTCGATTGCATTTATTGCTTATATAATTTTATATTGGTTTCGAGCTTACTATGACAATTTAAACATCTGCTATCGAAAGGGTTTAAAAATTAAAGCATAAAAATTAAAAACTTATGTTCACTTTTCTTTATATACAAGCGAAAAATAATAAAAAAACCTGATAAAATGTTAACAGTACAATACTACTTCAAGAAAAATATATAAAATGGAATTCTTGAAGTAGTAGATTATATGATCCTTATATAAGTATAAAAAATGCAATTGAGTCTGTAAAAACTTACAATACGAACAGCAATTCTTATTTGTTTCAACACCTGCGGTCCTGAGTAGTGTTGGGTTGTGAAGGAACAGTCTGCTACTTTGTCACTGTTCCTCACATGTCACCGTTCCTCGTGGTGACACACGTTTAAAAGTAGCAGTTACTCTGAGGAACAGTCACTTGTATTACAGCGGAGTCGAATCACAGAAAGACGTGGACCTAACCTACTGGAACTGTATACATGCAATTCAGTGACGGCTTCGAACCATTGCAGACATTTGATATCACATGTGGATGGTAATCGACACTTTCAGTACGTGCTTTATTATATATATTACATATCAGAAAAAATAGTCAATGTCCGCTAATGTACCAGTATCTAAGTCAAGTATGTCATCAAGTTAAATTATGTCCATGAAAAACATTTTTAAACAACGTTTTTGGTTTTCGTTTGGTTATATTTTTAACAAATATAAAAAATGCTTTATACCAAAATGAAATACCTTACTTTTTGTGTAGATTATAGGAATAAAAAAAAATAATGTGTATAAAATACTTTCTTTACTTAAATAAAACGGATTTACACATTAAAACTCTGCCTCAATTCTTAATACATAAAGGTTTCGTGCTGTTGTAATTCCCAGTATAACGTTTGGAACAATAAGTCTGAGCGCGGTTGGTCGAAGAACAGTGACAGAAAGTAGCTGCTATTTGTAACTGTTACTGTGGTGTCACAGGAACAGTCAGTCACGGTTCCAGAGAAGTAGCAGTTTTTCCCATCACTAGTCCTGAGTCCGCCCCTGTCCGCCATTGTTGGCCATAAACTCTCACCGCCGCCACCCGAACAACAAACTCCATACACAAACCCAGACATATTTAGCATCCAAGATAAGGCTTCATTCATTATTAAACTTATTATCACGCTTATTATTCCCATTATCTTCGAACTTCAACAACCCAACAAAAACGTTCGAAGGTGGCGCTATTTAACGTTGTTAAGTTGGTGGGTTGGCACAGCTGTTTTCCCTAGAATCGTTACCGGTTGTTGTCATTATGAATTACACGGACTATTTACGTTTAAACGAACTAAAAATTTTCAAAAATGTGCGAAATAGTTTGCCTAAAGGACTCACTAAATCGACTAATTTGCTCACCGTTAAAGATGGAGTGCTGTACACCTGGGATTTCGCAAATAATTGTGTTCTAACCTTAAATGTGAAAGCAGCCAGAAGTCGAGAAGGAGATAATGTTTCGCATCAGGTAAGTTTGTTATGTGTTGCTAATAGCTTTTGTAGTCAATTTTGTGGATTTTTGTTTGCTGGAAACGTGTAATTCATGGTGGAAGTTGTGTTTACTTTTACATAACCTCAATGTCAAAGTGTGACATTTGTTCACATTTTGATCTTTTTTTGCTAAAAGGAGTTTTTTATGATGCTGAAGACGATATTGGGGTCGTTGTAGCTTTCCTTTTTTATACATTTTCGGTGAAAATTTGAAGAAAGTGTTAATAATTGCGTGCAGGAAGCTGGAGTGACGTTTGTTGAGTGTTGTGGAAGCCAGTGGCGGCACGGATCGGCTGCGATAGGACGTAACGTCAAATTTTAAAAAAATATTTGCTCATTATTCATGTGTTGTGCAGATACCAAAAAGGACCAATATATTTTTGTGAACTAAGCTATATCTAAAGATAGTAAGTTTTGGCACCTGTGACCAGTGAGCAAGAAATTTATCTGTTTCATTTTTAAAAGTGGCGGGAAGTCATTACCTCGTGTAAAATGACTATTCTCATTTTAAACCCAAGTAAGAATAAACGTATAAAGTTGGATGTGATTTTTTTTTAATATTGCTTATGTTATTTTGAAGATAAGAATAGAAAATTAATAACGAGTTTTGGCAGATGTAACGTTGAAAATAAGACATTGTTTTGTGACATCTGCCACCAGCTGGGATAAAGGGTAACATCTCTGGAAAACCCGTATTTTAAAACCAGTCTAGGACTGAATTCTGTAGTTTCTTTAAATTTTAGAAGTTTGAAAGTAGGGTTCTGTTCATTATTACAAATTTTTCCAATACAAGGTGATATGAAAATGCTTTTAAATGTGAATATTTAGTTAAGACATTTTTAGCTATTTGTGTAACTTTGTGACACATGACTCAGTGATTGAATTACTGAAAAGTGATTCAGTACTTGAGTTATAAACACGAAACAGTTAGATTAAACCCAAAGACACATTCTTGTGGGTTTATGCTTATAAACATTTTTTGGGTTCATACGAGTAACTGTCGTGCTTGAAACACCTAAAATTCGTATTACAAAAAAAAAAATTGAAACCTTATTTTCAGAATATCTAGAGGTGCTTTTTGAAATAGTCTTCTAATTTTTTAGTATTATTTTTGTTTACAAAATATTTTCAAGGAATAGAATATGTAGTAAAAGAGCCGAACTCTGTAGTAAAATGTATTTATTTTTTAGATTAAGACATGTTAGACATGAATAGTGTAAGTTTTAATTGACAATCGTTTGATATGGTAATTTGTCCCAAATGAGTAATGCACGAAAAACTGCCTAACAAAATGCGTTAAAAAAATTACTGTATATGTATATGTTGCAATTTAAAAAAATATAGGTTTGGGTTGCCACACCGACGCCTTACATGCGTTATATCTACAGTGCACAAAATTAGGCTTTCCATTTCAAACTAAAAACAATGACGTTTACAGTATTTAATTATCTGAATCCATTCTCAAGATATAAGGCAGCGGAATTTATCAATTATCGAAACCAGTAACAATACACTTGTCTGAAATTTGTATTTTATATTAACATATTTGATTTTAAAAATATTATTAATTCTTATGTATCAGTAACACTAATTCCACCTTTTTATTTCCCGAGCGTAAGCTAAGGAAGTATAGTAATCGAGTCCATGGGGCGAATTACTACTTTCATATTTTCTCGACGTGTCATAACCTCGAGAGTACGAAAAAACTGGTCTGCCGTTTCCGTCTGTCTGTCTATCTGTCTGTCTGTCTGTCTGTCTGTCTAAATCCATTTTAATTGGATCTCCGAAATTACTGTAACGATTGTTGTCAAATCATATACTCCTAGATGGTTAAACGCTTTATAAGTACAATTTGGCGAATCTCCCCACCACCAATGGGATAACGTCATCCCCAATTTATAATAGCAAGTCTTTTAAATTTTATAAAATAAGATAATTCTGCACTTGTGGTGGGTGAATCCGTGTCGAATTTTCACCTTAGACGTCACAAAATTTTACCGAATAAATGCTCTCTGAAATATGCAAAATATTATGACTCTATACTTGTGGTTTATAAATGCATTTATAATTTTTAGAATTACTTAAATTAATGAAAGAGTCAATTTATTTTATTGATTAAATCAGGAACTACGCAACCAAATGCTTTGAAATTTTGTAGAGGTCTTAAAGTTATCATAAGCATGGTAAATTTTTAATCAAAATATATGTTTATCCCCTCTAAAAATTAACGGCGTCATCTTGACAGGGTGGGAATGGCTAACTCCATTTTCCAGAAAATTTGGGAATACAATGATGGCATCACAAAATTTTGTTAAGGGAAAACTCATTTGAAACGTACTTGCAGCATGCTTCTTTACATTTACTTAAACGTTACATACATATGGGTCATTATTATCATTTCGTGGAGAAAAAATGCCTAATTTTTTAATGAAATGATTTCGTTACATGTTTGAATTTATAAATAACTTGTATTGTTCAAAGTCCACACTTAATTTCTTGTCAAAATTTAATAATTACTGAGACATTAATTCTAAAAACTCAATTTATTATTTGGCATGGCATGTGATACTGAAATTCGTTTAATTGAATTGACGTTTTCTGCTTCAAATTGCACAGATTTTTTTCTGATTTGGGGTTTACCATATTCTTTCTTATATAAAAGGAGGATTGACACACAAAAGCCGTTGTATTAAGCTTCATTATTACAATTTTAGGTCGTATGAATTTTGTGACATATTTTGGCCAATAATAATTGCAATGATAATGTAATTTCTCTTGTCTTAGAGGGTCATTTGCTCAAATTGGTCTTATTTTAGTAGGTTCTAGCCCCGCCCACCGGCCCTCTATTTTCTTATAGGGATCTCATTTGTCAAAATCACTCTTATCGTAGCAGGCACTAGCCCCGCCCACCCGCCCTCTCTTTTCTTAGAGGGTATGTCATTTGCCAAAATCGGTCTTATTTTAGCAGCTACTAGCTCCGCCCGCCCACCTTCTCTTTTCTTCGTAGGTATGTCATTTGCTAAAATCACTCTTATCTTAGAGGATATCTCATTTGCCAAAATCAGTCTTATCTTAAAGATACTAATAAAGATATTTTTATTTTAACTTATTAAGGGTTCTCATAAAAAATAAAATTCGTATAATCAAATTTTATATATCTATTTCTTTTAAAACCTGGATTTGTTTCATTGTACTGCAGGGGTGGGGGAAGTTCTTTGGAAATAACCTTCGACCAATTTTTTGTCATTGTAATTTGGATGTTTTTATGTAGTGACAAACAATTGTTAAACAGGTTTGACTTTACCTAATATTTTTGTCATTTTTCATTGGTGAAATTTTTATCAACACCTTTTAAGGACACGTATTAATGTTATTATTACAAATTTAGTTATTATTACAAATTTTTATTCATCTGGCACGGTAGACCATTGAAATTTGGGTAGCAATTTTTCAACAGGTTTTTTTTTCATCTTTGAATGTCAGTTTCAAAATTTCGCAACAACTTTACTGTGATTCGTTTTACTGTTGTCATTTAAAAGGACAGTAATTAGCCCTTCCATGGCTGCTTCTAGAAGTATACATGTAGTTTTCAGATTATAGTAATGGATCTGTATAAAAAGTAATACAATTATTATTTGAAGATTATAATTCTTTCTGTATATGTATTTCAAATTTAAATTCTCAAATGTTGGAAATAACAAAAGTGTTACATAAATTAACATTATTTACTGTAGGGTGCGTGTGTTTCAAAATCTTAGAAACATTTTCAAAATGATTATATACATAGTAACAAAACACCTATATCATTTATATACCTAGTGGAATTCGTAACCCAGAAAGGTAAACCCAGTCTGTATTTTACGTTCGATGGAATTTTAAACTTATGTTTTGGTGATGGATTTTATTAATGTTTACTTTATTATAGAACTTGATCCATTATGATTATCAGTAGGCGGAAATTTATCTTACGGATGCAATTCCCCAGTTGAAGAAAGGTGTGTTTTACGGCGAGTAGCGGGGACGCTTTGATCTGGTCCACAAGGTCGTAGCCAGTGCGTCGCTAGGAGTGTTTACAGCTTGTTAAAAAACTACTTCTATATTACTATATTACTTCAAAAAATAATACTCGACGCCCTTTTTAATTTTTCAAACACAGGAGCACAGATTTGTAATCTTGAAATGTTATATTATGTTGATATAGTCCAAAAGAAAAATATATTTGTAATCAAACTATCGCCGCGACAGCACTGGATCTAGCGTATGAAACACAATTCCGCCCGTTGATGATTATGCACTAAGACTCAGCGAAAAATTTTCTTCGTAATGTTTTATTGTTCTTTTGATGGATCTTCCCTCGCTAAAGTAATTAAATTCGTCCCGTAAAGAACTCTTAAAATCTGTAAAAATACCCAAACACGTGTAAGTATTCAACAATTCAATTAGCCCCTTCCGGAAACCTCTCTCTCGCCTTCCACCCGTTCCTCCTTTTCCGTGAATCCATCGCGGCGAATACTCGAAACATTCGCACTTTCCATGTCTCAGAATTGACATTATTTTGCAATAAATTACGTCGAATTGCACCCTTGACGAGTGTATATGCGAAAAATATCAGGGAACGAGCCGAACGCGCAACCCCCTCGACGGTTTTGCATCTGAAAGGTGACAAATACAACATTTGAGTGTTATATTGTTCGGAATTGGGGTTATTTCTTTTTTCTTTTTCTTTTCTTACTCAACGGGGCGTCGACGGCGTTCTGTATTTTTGATTTAGTGGGTACAAAATTTAAATGCGATGGGGGTAGTCGAAGTCGATGCCTTACTTGCTATATTGTTTGTGTCATATTTTGTAAGGTCTAAGTAAGAGAGTAAGAGGATAAAACTTTCATTTGGTCACCAATTCTTGAACAACTTCCCTGATACAGATCCTCATTACTTTATGACAGATTAGACGTGGTGCTTTGAAATTTACCCAAATGC